ATAGCTGAAACAGTAGAAGCTCACCCTTCATGGTTCTGAAGGCTGAGAAGCCCAAGATGAAAGGCCCAGCTAGTTTGGGTCATATGGGAGCTCGCTTCCTGGCTCGCCATCTGTGCCCTGCGACAGAAAGAAATTTCTCGTATGCTGCTGCTTCTAAGGGCACTAATTCCACTTATGGCTCAGGGTCTCTTGATAATTACCTCCCCAACACCTCATCTCCAACACCATCACCTTGAGATTAGGGCTTAAGGGACATAGTCAGTCAGTCCATGCAGGGAGGGTGAATGGATGACTTGAAGCTTCATGAAAATGCTTCAGCTGATAGTGACCTTTAGACCAGGGATGCTGAGGAGAATGTCTGTCCACCCAGAGCAGAGACACTCTTAGCGGTGGCCTTGGCAGTGCGTGAAGCCCTGTGCTCAGTGCTCAAGTCCTGTGCCTTTGGAAGCCGTCCCTAGGAGGACCAAGGTCTCCCCACTCAGCCTCTCCCGAAGTCCATTATGTTCACACACAGCAGGCACGCTGTAAAAATAGATGTTGGTAACACCTTTCTTTTGTTTAGTTTAGCCCAGACTAGCAGGAAAGCTGTAGGAATAATGTGCTAATGAGTTGACTGGGTGGTGAGAAGCATAATGAATGTCAACAGCAAAGGATTAGGACAGCTTAGAGATGCAGATGCATGGATAGGGTGTTGGGGTGTTGGGTTAACAAGATGGGGACCCACCACCACCAAACTGCTAGGCTGACCCACTCCCAGCTCTGGGCTCAGGCACATGGTGACAGACACTCAGCTTAAACCAAGACCTGCCCAGTTAGCTGTAAGGTCTTCAGGCACAAGTGTCACCTGTATATCTTAGTCCCTTAGTAGTGCAATTCTTGTGTCTGTCTTTCCATTCATGAACCTGTGTCTTCTTCAGAGATGTCTCCAGTGCTGACACTGGGAAGTCGAGGAGTTATGGACGACCTCAGGGCACACAGTCATTTGAAAAGATATTCTCTAGAAGCACCATGAGCAGGAAGATTGCTGAGCAATCATGCTGAGTTGTCATCCAAACTCACCCCTCCGGGCCTGGTAGCCCTGAGGGCTGACGACAGCAACTGCCTGTCTGAGTCTGGAAGGAGCTCTCAAAGCCAGGCCATTATTTACACCGAAGTGGCTTCAGTGGGCAGCTTAAGACTGGGGCTCCATTCCCCCTTCCCCTTCCTTAACTAGCTGGATGACTCCTGGCCAAGAGTGTAGACTCTTGACTGTGTGAATTTGTCCTAACAAAATTTTATTTTCTCACATTCTAGAGGCTGAAAGTCTCAGGTCAGGGAACCAACAAGGTCGGATTTCTACAGGAGTCTCTTCACTGCCTCCCCAGTGTCTTCTAAGGGAGCTTCTGAATATGCACATGGTTAATGAGGGGGGAGCAAAGTGGGGGCAGGAAAGGAAGGAAGTGGGGGACTGGGCTCAAACCCTCTAGTGTCTCCTGTCATTCAGGACACCCATCCTGTGAGATCCAGATTCCACCCTGTGACCCCTGACCCTTTAAGTGTTCTTCAGCAGCCCCATCTCCCTAGGGAGGTTACAGCTTCAGGGAATGAATCTGGGGAGAACACAAACACCCCTCTACCGCAGTGCTGAAGACAGCTGCCTGGCTTCCAGTCCACTCTGTCACAAGCCCTCCTGTGACCTTGAGGAAGGTCCTTCGACTGTTCCAGGCCTTGGCTTCTACATGTAAAACAGGGGCAGCAATGTCGCCCCTGCCCGGACACTACAAGGATCCAATTAGGGAAAAGACATGGTGGGCTCAGCGAAGCTCTGGTAGGGGCTCCCCGTGTTAGCGGCAGGAGCGGGGCCTCTGAGTCCCCTCTTAGGTGGCCCTGGATGTCCAGTCTGGCCTTGTCAGTTGACACGGTGAGGACCTGGCCCACCCTGCGTCAACATACCCTTCCCACCAGGGCCTTCCATCACCAACAATCCTTTGGTCTCTTTCAACTTTATTTAGCTCTGTCTTTTGACTACATCCTCACTGTCTGAAAAATCTTAGGTCTCCTCTCACCAAAATTGAGAACTTCCTTCCGCTCTTCCCTTCAGGATGCCCTTGGCTGTGTCTGCAGTTCCCACAAACTTGCCTTCCACCACAGCTCATGAAGGACTCTCTTGTCTTCCTCCACTGCTCAGCCACCTTTAACACTAAGGGAGGAAACTCGGAGAGGAAGGGCGTGGGCAAGAGTACCCATGTCTGATCTATTTTAAATTCATCTTTGTGTAAGTTCTGAGGTTTAAGATTTTTTTTCATATATGTCATCCATGCAGACACCAGGCTGATTCTTTCTCATTGTTTTAAATTTTATAAGTACATGAGCTGTTGAAACAAGCACATCGTGATTTTCTCTAGATAGCCAGTTGCTCCAATGCCCTTTATTGAACTAACTATCCTCCTGCCACTGAATTGCATTTTGTAGTTCTTATTTTTAAAAAGATTATCTATGTGGG